TATTTTTCGTTTCAGGCATTTACACATTTTAATAACTATGTGAGACCATCGCCGCGGGCAAAATTAGAAGAAAGATGAGCTTTCTTCGTAGTTGCAGTGGTGGTTATCATGGCATGATTAGAATTGCATGCTTTCTTCGATGTTTTACAATGACTTGACATGTTTCTTACGACGGACCATTGAAATGGTTGCTTCAGCACTCTTATAGCAGGGACACCATGTGGAAAATGAACATTCAAGTGATCTGTAAGGAAATGCATGATAGCCACTATTACTCATGAACAAAGCATATGTTTCCACCTAACTTTACCCGGGGCGATGATTCACGACTTAAAAATGAATGTTTCGTACGTAAAACGGGGGAATAATTCAGGAAATGTGCCCAAGGTAGTTTTTCCCTTACCTTTCAGTATTCAGTGAAGTAGAACGTAGGATATTTGATCACCAAGAGATACTAAAAGATAAGGAAAACGAATTACTGCTCAAATATAAGAAGTAAGAAGGAAAAACGATATGAAATGCTCAAATTAAGAAGAAAGGTTGAAGGACAGTGTTGCTGCTAGCCACTGAGTCCCAGCGCGCTGCACGTACTGTCCAGCTGGGAAAGGTTCCAAAAAGGCGCGCCCACGGTGGTGTAATTGCACGAGTCGGGGCAATCGTCAACGAATATCCTTTACTGTGTCTCTTGTCTCTTGCAAGTTAGACCATGAAGGTTTTTATAGCGCACTGGATTGGAATGACTCAAGCTATACACTAGAAGGTAGGGTATCTGGTTAATCAGAGAGGATGTGACGATGTGAAGAATGGTAGATTCAGCGCGAGTGAATTCATCCACTCACATGTTTGCTCAGTAAGGGTTATGTGTCCTCGGATTTGAATTTACAAATCCGTCAATAAGTTCATTACATTCAGTCTGAAAATGTTCTGGCACAACGGTACCGCTTCAAAATTATGAAATTCACATTTCGCTAAAAGTGGCACTGAAGAGTAACTCAAATATAAAACGTGAGGGCTGCATTTACGAAATTGTCGCTCCAATATTTTGATTATCGGCAGAGTCAAGCAAGAGGCGTGGCACACCATGCTGATTACCCCTCCCCCTCCTCTTTCTCATGTTACTGTCCTAATAAGACCCCCCCCCTGAAGTAGTGCATACCCAATAGACATAAATTGAAAACCCTACCGAATAACGAGTAGTGTATCCATTATTAGCATGTCAGATAACTTCTGTGGACTAAGTTCGTGAGAATTCTAAGTTTTAAATACTGGGCGACCCGGTGAAATGGTCATTTCGAACATGATTAACTTTGCTACAAAAAAGGGAATTGTCTACTTTTTCGGCACTCCATACAAAACACTACATCTTTTTACCCACCTCAGAAATCCCGCCTTAAAAGACCTTCAAACTGTGGAATATGAAACCAACCAAACTCGCTTTTTCTTTTTTTCGTTTTTGCTGACTGTACTACCAGCTATTATTCAGAGCAAAGACGAATTAGACTCTTACTTCTGTGAAATCTACGAGGTTTAAGCTATCGATTCATATAGATATAGCTCACTAGAAATATTTTTGACATAGTGGGGTGTGGCACAACCCCAAAAAAGGTGTGGCAGCCACAGCTTTTTCGGGGTTGTGCTTATTAACCTACCTTGAAAAACACCTTCACCGAGTGATGCTTTTGTCTCGATAGCTTAAACGTCGTAGATTTCACAGGAGTGATTTGAGCCTGATTAGTCCTGCTTAAAGCAGTGGCTTGGGAAAACAAAACATCTAGAAATTTTTTGGAAGGCTTGCATCCCAAACATCACAAGAGAGCAGGTCCGAGCGCACTACATGCTAGCCCGCCTAAAAAAGCTGCCCATTTTCACACGCGCTCGGATGAGCTTGCGGTCTCCCTTCCACCGTCAGAGGCGGCATGCCGTAATGTTGTAAGCGTGAGGGTCCCGCGACGACTCTACGTCTCTAACCATGGCAGAGAGTGGTCCAAATTCAAGATGGGAACCCTTGGAAAATTCTGCTTTTCGACATTTTCATGCTCTTCGAGGTGTATTTTCGAAATCAGCGCGTCGAATTACCCCAGGTAAGCGAAAAAACTTTATGTCAAGGATTTGCCGAGCCACTGCCTTTAGAGTAATAGTTGGTGAACGTGCAGCTGTTTAAAGCGAAAAAGAGGAAAAACGAGATTTTGGTTGGCTTCTAATTCCATAGCTTGGAAGTCTTTCAAAGCAGAGTTTCTGAGATGGGCAAAGAAGAAGTAATGCTTTATATTGAGTGCGGAAAGAAATAGCTAAATCATCCTTAAAATGAAGTTTTTCATGTTCGAAAATGACCATTTCATTTTGGTGGGCAGTATCTGGGAGCTTCAGAATTCGCCCAAACTTCTTCACAAGGGTTATTTGCTTATGAATAGATCACTCGTTATGCTTAATAGGGGCTCTTTATCATGCTGCATGCTGCGGTAGGTATACGATAACAAGTCAATGTCTGATGTGCTTGTATTTCGCTTAATGGGTCATCTGGCCAACTGCTCAGATAATCGCCGGGGGCAGGCGGTCCGCAAACTCGCGCTTTTCTGCAGGCGGTCAGCAGGATTTCGGGGCGTGGCGAAATCTTCAGCGGGCGGTATTTGCGTTTTCTGCAAGCGGGCATCAATACAAAATTTTCTGCAAGCGCTCGTCAAACAATCTCTTTCAGCGAGCGCTGGCCAAACTTTCAGCAGGCGCTCAGACTCTTTTTACGCAGTTTCGGGCGTACGCCGAGAAAAGATGAGACTCTATGTGGCAGAGGTGCCATCGATGGTTTTATTACCCAAGTTTGGGGTACTTTCTTTCAGCGGAAAGTACCTGAGGGCTGTGCGGTCCTTCAAAAAGGACCGTGCGGCTCTCAATAATTTTGCATGTTCTCGCGGAAAATCCGCGAGAATGCGGCCACTGTGCCGCAACTTATGTATAGAAAAACCGCGATAGATCTTCGAGCGTTCGTCTAAAAATTGGCCAAAATTATTCCAAATTTCTGCAAGCGGACCACAAAAAATCAGCGAACTATTTTTCCGGTGCCCGCTTGCTCAAAATTCGCATGGCCGCTTGCCCCCGGCGATTATCTGGATGCTTACTCAAATAATCGCCGTGGGCAGGCGGTCATGCGAATTTTGAACAAGCGGGCATCGGAAAAATAATTCGCTGATTTCTTGCGTACCGCTTGCAGATATTTAGAAGAATGTTGGCCATTTTTGCAGCATCACCGCCCGCTCACTGATGCTATTTATTGCCGCCCCACCATCTTTGATTGTTTGAGTATGTGGTGCTGGCGTGGCGTGTCCGCTTGCCTGGGGTTGTTCCATGAATGAAATCCATTTTTGGAATTCTGCAGCAGCAAGAATCAGTTGTGTAAGTTGATCACCGTCTTGGCCCCGTCAGTTTCTTATGATAGTCGCGATCCGCGATACTTGTCGAAACAATAACAATTCAAATGTGGTCAACAGACATATCGGCGATTCATAGCACGCAAAGATTGCGGACCTTTCGGCGTCTCTCCGATCGAGCGCTCTTTGGTTTCTCTTACCATCTGCTGTCTCTCCCATGCAAGAACTATCTTGGTCGGACGCAACGGCGCCCAGTCTTTGCGTGTCATGAATCGTGTATACCTGGTAATATAATTTTTGTTGCGAAAGATTATGGACATAATGAAAGTAATAGCAGAAATTAGAGAAGAGTACTACCAAACTCGGTGAGTGCAACAGATAAGACTGAAAATCTAGGCTTAAATTGTAGGCATGGACCAACTTAGTTAGGGCTCCGCCCCTCTTATTGTCCCAGACTCTCATCGGCGTCCGTCCCCTAGGTTTGTATGGCCACACCCATCCCACTGGATCCAAATCGACTCCTAAAGAGCCTTTGGGCCACGCCCCTCTCACCATCGGAATCTATAGATCTCTCACCGGCGTGTGTCCGCGGGATATGCTAACCGCACTTCACTAATTAGCATCGGTGATTGATTGCCAATAACCCATGATAGAAAGAAAACAACCAAAAACAAGTACTTATACACAACACATTGAAATCCTTCAATGTATCTGGGTGCTTCAAGTAATCTAGTATTTACAGGGTGTGCTAAAATTACCGGCGCCAACTTTGAAAGCACTTCCACAAAGAAACCATTGAAAAATACAAGCTCAAATTTGTGCATGGAAGGCACTGATCAGTCTCTGTACCACACATTTTAAATCTGGGAGTTAAAAGAATCAGACCAGTATTTTCAAGATAGGCAAAAATGAAATTCTTACACCCTCATTGCTCTGTGACTGAATAGACTCAAAGCCTTTCTAGACCCTTTCAAGCTGAGGTTGCAGAGCACAATTTGCACTATCACATAAATCCAGTTGCATTTGCGGAATTTGTTCCTGCACAAAATAAGAAAATGTATTTGCGAAAAAAACCGCGTACGACCAATGACCTTTAGTTCAAAATCGATTGTTATTCCCCAGATTTGCAAAACTTTTCAGGTAAAAACAGTTACCTATTTGTGAGACATGTAGAAGAGCACGTAGATATAAGCGACCAGCTGAAATAGGTTCGAATCTAATTTAGAAGATATTTGATCCTAAGGCGCACTCAGGAAAGTCAAAATTACGCCAAGTTTCGGTATGCCGCCTCTCAACCATGTTTTGGCAAATCTGAAATTCTCTTCGTATTGATTTTCAAACTTCCATACTTAGCTGTAAGAAGTGAAGGCTTGCTCTGTTTTCGTGCGCATCATGCTTGCGTACAGAGCACACTTCGGTCGGCGAGAGGAATTGGGATTTTTTCGAGAGATAAGACAAACTGATTTGACTATTGTTGCCATAATGATAGCCGGTAAAAACAAACGCATACTCGATCCGTCTTCAAACCCGTCTGGTATTCTTCTGGCACCCAAGGAAACACGCGCCGGTAACTTTGGCGCACCCTGTACATGTTCATTCCATAGCTTTTGGGCTTGACGATCAGGAAAGAATTTGCAGACTAAATCAGCTGGAAGAAACTCTACAAAAGAATCTTCGAAAAATGGGCTATCAGCAACTACTTCCTTTGCAAGCGTATTCTGCCAAGATTCTGTTGTCAGGTAAGAATGTGAAATCATGTGCGCACAACTCATACGGAAAAACGTTTTGAAGGTCATCATCTGTTGGTGCGTGCACCAACTGGAAGTGGGAAAACTGCTGCGTTTCTAATACCAGCTATTCAATATGTTATTGAGTACCATCTCCATGTAAGGTTAGTGGCATCACAATAACTGAATCTGTGTAAGTAAGCTGAATGTCTGTTTTTCTGTACAATGCGTTTAACGAGGTCAGCGCCGCGTAGTGCAGTCACACATCCACGCGCGGGCGTTACCGTACGCACAGCGTGCAGGGACCAAGCTCCGCACAACATCGCGGCCCTTGTTTTTATCATTGTAACTGATTTTCTGTTTTCGTAACAGGCGGATCGCCATTTTTCTTGCTTCTATGCTCATATGCATCTGCCTTGATAGCAGATACGATTTTTTTCGCAGCAAAGAAAGGAGGCATCAAGGCTTTGGGCGTTTTTCCTCATCTTGGCATCTTTCATTTCATGTAGACCTTTTTAAAATGGCTGATTGTGGATGTCACGATCCATTATATCGATTCATGTTTCAGCGGACAGAATCGTATACCGTATAGATTTGAGTGAACACAGTGCCAACGCGTTGTTCAGTCAAACTTTCTCTCAACCTATACGATGTACGATTACACCTCACACATTGACTTGCTGCAAGGAAGAAGAGCACTAGCCGTTCTCAGGATTCTCAAACGATTTCAGATTTCATCTTCTTTTAGACCTCAAACCTCCATTTTCTTTCATTCGCGCGGTGATAACTTTGAGAGATCTCAGGAAAAACCGAGGTAGAGTTCTAGATAGTACGAGCTCAGAAATTTAGAAGCAGGACAGCGAATAAGCTAGGAATGAAGCAGGAAGAGTAGCTAAAACAAGGACCACGCCGCTTTGCCCGGCATGGTCCCTGCACGCTGCAGCACACGGTAGCGCTCGCGCGCAGGTGTGTGACTGCACTACGCGGCGCTGACCCCGTCAAATACATTGTATGTATATGTGTATATATGTGCGGAATAGGAATTTTTATTTTCGAGCCGATTTGGACCAAACTTGGCACGAATATACTTAGGGGCAGGGAGCGTGTCAGAGGCTACCTTTCGCTATCGATCGATATCGATTTTATTGATTTTTTGCAGAGTTTGAGCTACAGGACTGGGAATTGGCACAGGGGGTAAGTGAGCATGGCGCGGAATGCAATATTAGTTTCAGAATTATCGTTACTTTTATCGATTTTATCGATTTTTTGCAAAGTTTGAGCTACAGGGCCGGGAGTTGGCACATGGGGTAGGTGAGCAAGCTGATTTCGAAAACAACACAGGGAACGGGAAGAAGTGTAGAAGTGGGCATAGGGAAAGGCTGTGCAAGGATAGGGATGTGACCTTTATTACAGTTTTTTGACAGAGCCTAGCGGAGCCGGGTAAGCAAGCTAGTCTAATATGTACAGAATCGTAACGCCATCTCAATTTTGGACTCAAAAAATCGCAAAGAATATAGAACGCACCAAAAACATTCTAGAGGGGCTAGCAAGGGCTGCGCAATTTCATTTAAAGAAATATTCGTGTTATCTTTTTGAAAATCTACAGTTTTGCACTGAGTAAATGACTGGTGAAGGTCAGTAGAAATAAAGGCATCATCAAAGAGAGATGGGCAAGTGGAGTCGGTCATGACCTTGGCGCTGTTATGTGGGTGGTGAAATGGCCGGAGCTGCTTAATGTGCAGACCCCAAATTCTCAGGACGAAGATGTGTAAGCGTTGCAATTATGAAGGTTCCGATGTAGTGCACACAATGGTGAAGCACTTTCCGTACATTATAACGACATCAAGAAGTCGAAAATCCAGCTAGCAGCTGCCGTCATATTTTGTTTCATCTAGTTGATGGATGCAGCTATAGAGAACTATCCTAACGCCGTAAGACGCACCTTTTTCGATTCTTTAAGCCTGCCGATCAGCCGCCTCGTTGTGTTTCGAAAAACAAGACCTATGCCGCTCGATACTCTTGGGCAATATGTAGCACTGTATGTAGTTTTTGGGTCGCGAAGTCCTTCGGTGTGTCTATGCTGTTTGATTTCAGAAAAAAATTCCCTGCGTCCTATAGCGTGAAATTGGGGTAGAATGTGGGACTTCCAGTCTGCACACTGCTTCTGAGTGCTTGAGTCTAATGCTTAGAAAATGGTCGTATGAATACCTACACCTATCTTACTGGTACTCAGCCAGTTGGATGGCCCGTCTTCATGTTGTTCTTTAGCGCAGAAGTTTCCAGTGATCCCTGTCCTTCGCTTTAGACATCCACGATCTTCTTGGCCGTCGTCGGTGGCTGCGTCCACGAGTTCCAGGGGCGAAAGTCGTGTCCAGCTAATTTCTCAGCTGGTCCATCCGTTCCACGAACACGTCTGCCCACCGCGTCGGTGGTCTTCCTCGAGGACGTTTGGCTTCGCAAGGAATCCACTCAGATGTTCTTAGTGCCCATCTTTCGTTTGTTCTTCTCGTGATATTACTGGCCATCGATGTTTCGCTTTCGCAACGTATTCCGCTGGGTCACGAAGACGGGACATTCTTTTTAAATCCGTAGTGCGAAGTCGGACTGGTGTTGTTTAGTCGGCTCATCTCCTGACTGCGCTCGAGCGCTTTGTGGGTGGTCCGTAAAGCTTTCGACGTGGCTACAGTGTCGGGCCAAGTCTCAGCTGCGTAACAGAGCGCCGGGAGAACGGTCGAGTTGAACAGATGGGCACGAAGCTCCGGGTCCGTCAGTTGGTTGGTGGCTTACTTTAGAGGCGCGAAGGCGGCGCAGGCTGCTTTTCTTCTCTCGTTGATTTTTTCCCTTAAGTCGTTCTTTATGGTCACCGAATGTCCGACATACATGAGGACGTCTCCATAACAAGCGTGCCTTTCGACTCCATTTCTGCATGGCAAAGGGCGTTCTCTATGATAAGTCTTCTTCCGATTTATTTGCAATCCAGTTTTTTTCCCTACTTCGTTTGTTGCTTACCATCGTCTCTGCTTCAGTGATATCATTCGAAAAGAGAAAGATTTCGTCCACGAAAGGAAGAGTTGACACGTGTCTCCCATCAACTCGTACACCCCTCTCATGCCAGTACAGTGACTTCATCACCCAATGCAAGACCGCGGTAAACTGTTCGGCGAGTCGCTGTGACATCTTAGCTTCAGTAGGAGAAGATTTCCGACTAGTGGAAAACGTTGAGAACCGTCCTTCTCTTCAAGAATAGTGAAGAGGAAAATCTTCGGAACTACCGTCCTATGAGCCTGCTGAGTGTGTTGTACAAGCTCTTCACGAAAAAATTTTTCGCTCGCATATCTAACAAGGAAATGGTCAGAAGTCGAAGTGGCCAAACCAAACAAGCTGTATACCATTCGATGCAGTATAAACGCTGACTTCGAAATTGTCTTTCTTATCTGCTTCCCGCTTCTGTGGACGAAGCTACAAGCGGTTTTATTGTGAAAAAATCACACATAAAAACAGCGAATTTGGGCACACTGTTGTATTTTTAGCTCAGCTTCTTTCTTTAAAAATTTGAAGTAGGCTAGCTGCATGTTTTGGCCCAGCATTAAGGCGAACGTGGCTCTGCACGCTAAATTTTCAATTTCACGCGTAATTTCTTAGCAAAATAATGGTCTTTAATGGCTTGTAGCTTCGTCCAGAGAAGCGGGAAGCAGATAAGAAAGACAGATTCGAAGTCAGCGTTTTATACTGCATCAAATGGTATACAGCTTGTTTGGTTTGGCCACTTCGACTTCTGACCATTCCCTTGTAAGACACTGGAGAATCCCAGCTTCAAGAACGAGCTGGATTTCGCGAAAGATTCAGCTGCGATCACATCGAAACGGTTTTGAGGGTCACAGAGCTCTGTCGCAAGTATCGACTGCCTCTCATTTTGAAGGCACCGTCCACCCAAAATCTCTCCATTTTGGGTGGACGGTGCCTTTAAAAGCAGCGTCTCACCAAAATTGAGGATGCGCGGATTTTCACATGTTTTAATATAGGACCCTCTAAGTGGGCCATTGCAACAAGTCCCACTCAATTTGACCCCCTCTAAGTTGAGAAAAACTTGCTCAAAGTGGCACGCGGAGAGCAATGTGATACGCGCGGGCGACTTCTCCGGATTCCCCCCTTACGCGTTTTGACATGTCCCTCCACTTGGCGTCACCTTCATTGTGTTGCTGCCACTGTGGCGGAGGCTAAAGTGGGAAGGCACAACTCGTCCAAGTTGCTTCCGCGGGCCTCAAAAAACGGGGTTTTTGGGAATTTTGTGCAGTTTCAAGCCCCTGCAGTGTTAGACAGGATCCGATAGGCCTATAAAATCCAATAATCTCGGCAACCAAATTTTGGTGAGACACTGCCTTCAACCTTCATCGACTACGAGAATGCCTTTGACAGCGAAACCACCGCCATCCTGTCAGCGCTAGTCGACCAAGGAGTGAACCCACCTTATGTGGGGACGTTAGCCGACTGGCACAAGGACTGTACAACGACGATGCAGGTACTCCATCGCCCCCTTCCCAAGAGGATGGTCGGAGGGAGCGAGAGTTTTGAAGAGCTTGTACAACACACTCAGCAGGCGCATTGGACGGTAGTTCCGAAGATCCTCCCGTTTACCCTTTTTTTAGAAAAGGACGGTTTTGACGTTCTCTATCGGTCGAGAATCCTCTTCCTTTGAAGGTAAGATATCAGGTGTGACGTGTAGATGTTGTCCTCCGGCCCGAAAACCGACGAAAGATGGTCTGGTCCTGAAACCGTGGACGTTTTCATGGTCTGAATCGCAGTACGCACTACAGGTAGAATTCGTGGTGGTACTTCTTCAGTGGGAACAACAGGTATCGGCACGGGTGTTGATGAGCGGTAGGAGGTTGGTATAAAAGTTCTTCTTTCTAGATTCCATCTTATACAGGGAAGAAGTCGAGGTCCCGTTTTCGTTTACTAGTGCAGCCACCGGTACGTGATATTCATGGAGGTCCCTTCGGCACTTTTGAAGACTTCTTCCTCCGCTGCTTCCAGTATCTTGGCTTGCCTGTAGTTCCTGAGGTCTTTCCGCAAAGCTGTTCTGTAATTGGCATTGGCCATCAGTCGCTCCAGATGGTTGCCGGATCCTGCCTCAGAAATCTTCTCCTTTCGAGCAGTACCTTGGTGGTCTTAGAAATGGTTCCAAGTTTTGTCCAATCACTGAGGCACACTCTCCACAGGCTCGCAATCTTTTCAGAAGCCGGTCGCAGTCGTACGTTGGTTCCTCCTCGATGGGCCAGTCACGACTTGTTGTGAGCTCTTCCAGCCTGTTACCCTCATAAACGACTTCCTTTCCTTCTTGCTTCACTGTGACAGACCTTCTTTCCCAGTTTTTGTCTGAATAGTATCTTCGCTTGAAGGAGGCGGTGATCAGGGCTAATGTAGAAGTGTGGAACTATTAAAACGTCGAGCAAGCTTCACCTTCGGTTGTTGTAGGGGTCGATCTCCACGAGAGTGGTTCTGCTGGGTGATTCCCATGTTCGCCGGCGGTGTTTTTCTTCGTGAGGATGAAATTTTCACGGAAAGGTTGTGCGGCAAAGAGAAGCCCAACGAGACGACGTCGTTTTCATTCCGGAGTCCATATTCAAACTTCACGATCCCATATTTATTTTCTACTGGCATTCCGGTTTTCGCATTAAAGGCAGCGGCTCGGCAGATTGACCCTATCTCAGATTTTGACACAGATGGATAGGAGGCCCTCCAAGTGAACCAAAACAGCAACTCCGCGCCGAAAATGTGAACTCTGCAAGCCAGAGGGGCGGCCCAAGCGCCGCTCCCCTTCCTCCTTTCGCTCCCCTGACACCTTGTTTGGATGAGTATTCTCCGCTAGACGGTGCGGGACCCCCCAACCGCTTCCCCTCATTGTGCATGCTATACAAAGCCAAAATTACAGGCAGCAGGGTCTTCGTGCCAGGGCCTCCCGACCCTTTCCTTTGAAATTCTCGTCCGAGCTGCCTTTTGGAAATTAAAAAAACGCCCCGAAAAAGGCCTTTTCACCCCTTTTAAAGCTCAGATTCAAGATCTACGGGTCGAGAAGGCCCAGAACATGCAAAAAGATGGAAATGCAAAATCTGCCGAGACGCTGCCTTTAAGTCGCCCACAACAAACATGTAGAAGGACTTCTCGTTGCGGATCTTCTCCACGTTTTTGTAGAAAGAGCATCTAGTTTTGAATCGTCAGCTGCTGATGGTGGCGAGTAGCAGTTGACGCTGCTGCTGGTCTTCTGAAGTGGAGGTCGTAGTCTGAGGATGGTTAGAGGTGATAAGATCTCATGCGAATTAACAAGATGGACGATAGATGGGTGGACGACGAAGCCAACGCTTTCAACGTTTCGTGGTGGGACCTTTTCACTACGAATAATGAATAATTCCATTATTCACACGTCCTTCTTCCTGAACTTCTTTCCTGCAGAGCGATGATGTGGTACATGATGTGCTCTGCGGCGTTGAGAAGAGCGTGGAGGTCGGCGTTTGTGGAGACTGTTCTGGCTTTGTAGATGCTGAGCAATGAGGCAGCCTCCATGGCGTGTCGTCCGGCAGACGTGTTATTCTTGTCCGATCCAAAAGGTCCCCTGAGCACTGGCATCGTTCTTGCTACCACCTGGCGCCGTAGGCGGGATCCGATGTTCAGGTTTCTCTCTCTTCTGATAGCCGGTGGAGTGATAAGAATTTTCTTCTACAAGTGCAGTCGTTGAACGGCATGCAGTAACATCGCCGCTGGGAGGGATCGCAAAAAAGCTTCATATTTATTTATTTACCATCGTAAACGATGCACCACCTGAAGCTCCGGATATCTGAATTTCACGCTGTCTACCTCTCCGTAAGCATTCCTACCATTTTTGACTATGAACGTTTTGAACGGGAGCGAGAAAGTATTAGGTTGTCCCGAAAGTTTTGTCCGTTTTTTCAACCTATCATAAAAACGCGTGGAATGAAGACAGGGAAACGCTCTAAGCACTATCCGACGCACCTTTTCCTCCTCTTTCTAACTGTCATGCTTACATGCATGCCGATTAATCTTTTGTTCACTGAGATAAAGGCCGAAATTTCGAACCCATAGTTTTTACTATGTCCAAGTTTGGCAATTTTTCACAATCTTTATTTTTGACTTTCGGAAAAGCTTTGGTAACAGTTAGATAGAGCAAACAAAGAGCAATATAAAGCAATTTTGCGGCATCTATAACCAGCCCTGAAAATTCTTTAGAATTATTTCTGATGCTATCACATTCCACTTTTGGTGATGCCAAAAGCCAGAGATCATGAAACGGCGCACAACTAAGGTGTTATTCGATGCAGCTTTTCCTCCTCTTTCCAGTGAGTGTATTTTCTCTTCAATTTGCGGGGTCTTTGGTGATAAAATTTTCATAATTCTTGAATTTGACCCCACCCCAGCGTGTACACGTAAAATGCAAAATCTTATATTTGAAGCGGTAAACGCTCATTTGCTTCGTAAAAATAGTGATTAATCGTAATCGGTTTTTGAAAGCTTCAAAATCCGATGATTTGTTAGTGTTCGAGGCGTTTCTGTATTTTAGAACTTCGCAAAAGTGAAGACTTAAAAAAAATTATATTTAAAAATATTGAAAAGCCAGCTAGATATGCCAAATAACCGCATTGCATTGCCCTTTGCTTACTCTATCTGAGGGCTATCAAAGGTCTTCTAAAAGTTGAAAATGAAGATTGTGAAAAATTGTCAATCATGGACATAGTAAAAACCACGGGTTCGAAATTTCTGCGTTTATCTCAGTGAGCAAAAGAGTAATCGGCATGCATGTAAGCATGACAGTTAGAAAGAGGAGGAAAAGGTGCGTCGGATAGTGCTTAGAGCGTTTCCCTATCTTTGTTCCACATATTTTTATGATAGGTTGAAAAAACGGACAAAACTTTCGGGACAACCTAATATATAAGCCGTAATTCCCAGCTTTTTATATGATTTCCTAATGATTCCCAGTTGCCGACCGTCTTTTCTTTCAAGTCATTTTTCTTTCCAAAGTTTTTAGAAACATTCCAAGGTTGTACTGTTCATCCAACTAACAGTGCTTATCAAGTTTCCGGTAAGAATAAGTAATGTTTCGAAGTCATGAAATTTGCGATGAACCACAAGTCGAAAGTTGTGTTCACCGAAATACATCGATACTCCAAAAACTCGTTTGTTCTTAACAGCAACATGCTTAGCGCTGTTGGGTTAGATAATCAGTTCAACTTTACGTCAACTTGGAAGAATGGTATATATACTTACGGATATAGGCAGCGTGAAATCCACGTAGTCGTATCTTTAGGATTTGAAGCTAAAGCTGCGATCCCCTTCCTAGAGGGGATGTTCATGCATGCGGCCCTCACTAGGCGCACTCTTGATTTTCACAAAGCGATCGCTACTCCGATGTGGAGCGCGGACCGCCCAGAGATCAGAATGCCAGACGGCGGGGATCTGGCTCGGTCCGCTCTTAGCTGAGTATCCGGCCGAAATCAGAAATATCGAAATCCTCGGCTTGGGAGATCCTATCAGAGTATGCACTCGACTGAGCATTGCACTTCGATGCCAGGGCCACCCCCACACGGACGGCGACGGACCATGGTGAGAGCGTACATTTATCGTGGTCAATAATGCAACGTAATCGTCAGCATTTTTTTTCTCTGTAAGATTTTTAGACGCAAAGGGATGAGATTGTAGCATTTTGATTGCTGTGTATCCCGACTTCTATATATTTATATTTTTTCTCGAGTAAAGCTCACAAATTATGGAAGTGCAAGCTAAAAACACAGATACCATATCTTTCAAAAATTTTTTGCTGAATTCTCCGTTGGTTTTGATTTACAGGATTAAAATGCATAATATCTGCTAGTTTATGTCGAATCATGTTTGGCAGCTTTTTATCATCTATCAAAATTTTTTGATACAGGAGGACTGATTACCCGCTGGTCCTTATCCTTGGAAACACGAGTAACTTGATGGAACAAACCTACAAATTTGCTTGCCAGATGGCTGGATATGAGCCAGAGAACAGAGGTGAGAGGAAATGTGAGTAGTATATGAGCTATGCAAAGGTATACGGCCGAGCTTCTCATCAACATCTTTACCTTTATTGATCTATGTCGACTTGCAGCCATATTGCATACATCAAGACTCAGTTTAGTCTTTTTATCCTTGGCAAATTTTTAGCGACTATGGGGTATCGGAATGCTTGTATTTGTGTGTACGTAGCCCATATTGACAATCGTAAAAGGATAAAGGATTCGGCGTCTTCAATACCCTTTGCGGGCATAACGCACACTACTTCATAGTCAAAGAGGCAATTGTATGCGTGCGAGCCTGTGCAATGACTTGTGGGGCCAGCCGGTCACCATTTCAGTACTCTTTTATCCCCAAATTACTCTGGTACCAACTTACCGTCCCCGGAGGGTAGAGGGCTTGGTTGGCCTAAGGGCGGGATCGAACCTGGTCATAGCGGCGCCTCATAACTTCACGCCACTCGTCCCCCTTCATTGACAATTCTCTTGATAAAATTGATCGCACAGCTGATCGATAGTTTTCCAGAACAAGCATCTAGTGAGTAGATCCAGGATTCTCCTATAAGTTTTTTTTTACAGCACATCTATATAGTAAAGCTTTGCATCATCATTCTTGGAATTGTGGTGCTAATTTACCACTCTGCTTCTTATTAAGAGGTGCAGAAAAGTAACGTTGATATATAGGTAGTAGAGTAACTCAGCGCTTATTGCCATATCGTAAAGGCACCACCTGAAATCCAAGGACCTTTCAGTCGAGATTGTCGAGTCTCATGGTACTACTAATCCAGTTTCAGGCTCATTACTTTAGATCACCTATGTAACACAGGCCTCCTATGGGCATCGAAATCCCGTCAAGCTTGGATTTGGCCTGGCTGCCTTTGAATGCGGTGTCTCGACAAGGACTTTTACCGCTTTTTCTCTCATTTAGGCTTGTCCGCTGCGCTGAATGCGAAAATCTTGTAAAGTAGCCTAGCCAAACGGCGAGAACAGGCTTTTTCAGACTCCTGCATTTGGAAATTTCGGCCAAGGCTGAGGCACAAAATCGACGTAGGACTTTGTGATCTTAACTGGGGCGGCATGCGTAGTCTACTGGACTCTGCCTTAGAAGTAGAGGACATTAGGTCGCCAGAAAGGGAGGTTCCGCTGTGTATCTAGAATAAACAGTAGCTCACACAACATATAATAACATGTAGCTGCACATCTTGTGTTAGTTGTCCGTGAAGGATGGGGCTCATACCGTCTTCTGCCCCTCTACCGATGAGAGAAAAAATCGCTGATGGGCGAGGCTCTCCCACTGGGGCGTGAGTCTCTCAACCAATTTGCGTTTTATCGCTTCTAGCCTATTGTTGTGGCATCGCGATTGAGAGACGACGTGGCCGATGACTTTCACATCCAGAAATAGTGAGTCCCATCTTTAGCGCTCGGACTTCCCTCAAACGTTCCCACTGGCTCTCTCTATGTTGTTGAACATCTCGGAAAATCAAAAAAGTGAAAGTAATTGGTAATTTTTTGAGCTATGCAACATAATATCTGAGGTCTTTTCTTACTTTTCTCTGTTTACTAAGATGGCATCAAAACTGCAGAAATTAACAATTAGTCAAAAGAGATGATGATTTTCTAGGTGGTCATTGGCAAAATATGTTTTTAGTTGCTTTCTTGGCATAGTACAGTGCTGGATCATCTTCTAAAGCGGCACCGCGGTGGTGGAGATTTTTTTTCCAGTAAATCAGTATCTCGAATTCTATATCAGTGACCCCTTACACGCCGACGTAGCTGCTGCCACGTCACTTTTTCTTAACGTTTTGAGAATAGGCCCAAAGAAATTGATGTTGCGTTCGGAACATTTTTTCTCTGGCTTCGTTTTGAAAAGTTTTTGTTGCTCCATCCTCGAATTTCGAATCTCAGTGGCATGTTCACTTGCTCACATGGAAGTGATCAGAGCTTGATTGGGCTAATCCGAACAAGATTCATATCATCGTATTCACCTCTACGCTGAACTCAAATATATGTAAATGATCCATTAGGTCGTTTTACAAGTCGTGGAGTTATTTTTGTCGCAATTTTCCGATGAAGCTGCTCGTTTACGTCATAGACCTGGACCATTAAAAAGAGAAAATCTTTCACTACAGGTGAAGCAAAAATTGGCGGCTTCGGCATCTGCAACTTTCGATCCATATGAGCAAATCACATGTAGAAATTCCTCGTCCAAAATCAGTATGAGTATCGAGTAATAACTGTTTGCAGGACTATGCTGTATGAAATGACCTAATACCGCATTGATACGTAGAGCCGTGTACTCTGATAATGTTCATTTTAACTACATAAAAGATCAGAACCTTCACCTAATTAAAAAAAGCAGAACCAGTCCTGGCGGAGCCCCGGATTTTAGGATTATAACTATATCGGAATGATAAATGAAACAAGTATAGTGGGTGGTATCTCAAAAATATCAAGGCGAGACCGAGATATTTCGGTTTTATTGATTTTTTTTCACGCTACAAAGGAGGTTTTTGTGAAAATTTCCCCAGAATTTGAATTTCTCATTTAACTTCTTTTTAGACTACGATTGAATTCCAGAAGTTCACGACAGCTGTTGGATTCAATAAAAATGAGAAAGTGCGCTTGAATTTTGCGCAGAGAGATGCGCACAATGTTGCTTTATTTGGTTGATAAGTGATTTTCGACGCTTGGGACGTTGTCAGTTTTCCTAGTCTTATTGTGACGATCAGAATGATGTATAATGGTGCAAGGTTTCGTTGAGACCCCGCGGAGGTCTACGACGGGAGCCAAATGCCCCGACGACCCTAGTCTTTGCGTGCGTGTGTGGACGTGCGTGTCGCGCGCGGTCGCGCCATTGTCACGATTTTTCGAACGCCCTGTTGATCGCCGCATTGTCAAGGGATTTGTTGTCGAAATTTTTAGTGCCTAGTGCTGAGCATTGTTGAATCTGACCAAGTTTTGACCATTTCCTTTCCATTTCACAGTTTTTATCGCTAATTTATAACTTGCTCATCAATTACGTTGGCAAATCAAATTTAAAAAATTATCACTTCTATGGTTGAACAGCAGCGACGACGAGTAGATCATCGGAATCGTTTCGTCCTCTGCTTTTAAAATATATAATTCTGTTGGGCTCCATTGTTCAAAGTAGAAGGGTGCAGACGATTTTTGGAAGTTTACAGGTTTTTAGGATGGTTTGGTAAGTTTTCTGGAGTTCAGCTAGGACGACTTGCAAGTCTCATTGATACCGGTCTGTTTTCGTTTTTGTAATATTAGGTTGGTTCATAATTAATGCACGTTTTCTCAACTTCCATTCTAATGAAGATAATTCTTTTCCGAAACAGTCTTTCTGCGCGCATTAAAAACTATTGTAAACAGCAAACTTTTAGCTATACAATGTATATTTTTGTGTGATTGCACTCACGAGGGAAAGATTTTTGGGCTCAAAAATTACCGAGAATTTTTTTTGGAAAGCTCTAGTTTGAAAGAGCATAAGTTATCCCAAGAGGACTAGAGAGCAAACTTTGCTCATTGTGTAGCCGAAGGTCGATTCTTCAGTAGCGTAGAACTTGGCTTTTACCAAAAATTTTCTGCGAAAAAAATATTGCCAAGAAAGCAAAAGTACCATTTTCTCCTAAATTTTAGAGAAGGCAAAAAACTGTATTTTTTAGGTTCCAACATTTTTTTCTCATTTGAAAAAAGAGAAGATTCCGCTTTTCCTATCATTAGTAGTCCCTGGTTTACTCTAAGACCCAAGTGAAAGTTCTGTAATTGCTTCCCACGTAATCATTTCATAAAGCTCCGGTGATCCCAGCATTCGGCTATGTTTAGGTCAAAGTTTCTTGGCTCAGGATTTTTTAACAATTTAGCTTTGGTGGGCATTTTGTAGCGCAAATCTTCTTGAAACAAATCTGAGCATTTTTCATGGATTTAGGGTAAGTCGAACGAAAGGAAAAAATTTCAAGTTTCAGTTCCTCATCTTTGAAGTTACGGAACTTCGGCCTGAACAAAGATTTCCGAAAACAGAAGTGTACATCAGAAAATAGAAGAAACGAGCTTCCCGATAGTTTAGGTGGTTTTAGAGAAAAACGATTTTTGGTTGAAAACTAGCGTTTGAAAGAAAAGGTAGGAAAAACGTGCATTAATTATGAACCACTCCAATATACAGTGCTGGACAAAATTATAGGTCCACTCTAAAAAGTGCCATAACTCACTCTGTTGTCAATAGAATATTCCAAAATTTGGTACAGCCGTGTGTTTACCAGCCTACTATCAGTCATGAAAATGGGTCTCGCTCAGAGGTGCGATAGTCGGAGCCGAGTCTCCGCCTACCTTCACTTTTGAGCTGGTACGGGGTGACCACCTTCACTTTTGAGTTTGAAAATTTTTTTTTGTTGAGGCTACCTTCACTTTTGAGTTTGAAAAATTTTGCTGAAGCTCAAGAGAAGGAAAATGAGCAAAAGGAATGCAAAAGAAAGTATTGAGAGCATATATCTATGTAGTAGGTCGATCCAGGAGTAACCACCGAGAACCAGATTTTCGAATAATAAAATAGCGAAAAATCATGCGAAATTTCCACTGTTATAAATCTGGCGGTTGAAGATGTCAGCAACTGCGACTTTATAGATTTTGAAGGGCAAGTGTTGTTCTACCAGACAGTGAAAGAATTAGATCGACCTGAGCAGTGGTCGCCGAGAGCGAGAATTTTAAAAAATCAAGCGATTTTAGGTTACTTAGTGACAGCTTGCGTTTAGACTCCTATAAATCTGGAATGTGGTGGTATGCAATGTTGCGACTTCTAGGTTTTGTAGAGCAAGGATTGCTCTATCGGACTATGCCTTAGCCGTACCGATCCATCAAGATACCGCCGAGATTCAGGCTCTTAAAAAACAGGTAAAAAACCGATTTTTCAAAATCAACAGCTCATAACTTCTTCAGAATTGCATGAATCATGTTGCGACTTCATAAGTTAGATTCTTCTTTTCAAGAGCTTTCAGATGATATATAATA